GCTTTCCTCTGAGGGGACGGGAGCGCGCGGCGCGGGCTGAGGGGGGCCCGCAGCGCCTCTCCGGGTCTCCGTGCCGCCTCATCACAAGCCTTACTTCTAAACGTCGGCTGACTGAACAGGTAGGTTTGAAGGCATCCCTGCAAGCTTACTTCGGCTTTGTTTTGCTTTCTGTGAGCCGAGATCAGGCTCTTGTGCTGCTGCAGCACAGCCTGAGGGGTACAGAGCATGTCCTGGCTTCCTCTCCGCCCCCTAAAGATACGAACCACTGACTGTGACTTAGCTCTCTAATTCTACTAAGTCCACTTTAGCAGAAGCTGTTACAGAGCAGACGAGGCCTTTGGCTCTGTTGGAAGCTCACACAATGCACTGCCTCCGCTGGAAGTTTACACAGCATACAGCGTGGCAAAGAAGAATTCTTATTAATAATTTCAGAAGTTACAAAAACGCCAAAGGGAAAGTGTAATGCTGTGGCTCTAGGAACTCTGTTTCCCCACCTCCACCCTTCAGGTTTTGCTTTTATCTCTCAGTATTTTCTCCTATTGAAATGTTAAGACTCAGACTGCCTGTCTCTACAGAGTGTTTAAAAAAACATATATGAGTGTGTTGCTTATCCAAATGTTTTCTCTCACTTCACTTCCCAGCTTGCCAGAGAGGGTCAAGATGAGTCTACGGAAGCAAACCCCTAGTGACTTCCTAAAACAAATCATTGGAAGGCCAGTAGTTGTAAAACTGAATTCTGGAGTTGATTATCGAGGTAAGTTTCCTATCTGTTTCTCACCCTGAGTAAAGTTGTGGTTTGAGGAGGTTTTGAGAAGCAAAACTGTGATCCAGAATCTGGGAGTATGTGAATATAGGTCTCTGAATGGTGGCATTAAAAATACTGAAAAATCAGCTCTGGAGATACTGATAAAAAGGAGGTTAACAGCTGATATAGAGATTAAAATTACTGATCTAAATCATTAGTGTCTTTAGTCACAGATAGACTAGAGTTTTGGGGTGACTCTGAGTTTGTGAGCTGATATTTGTAAAGATTGGCTGGAGTTACAATGCCTGAAACAGCCAGGTGGTCCCTGTGTCAGGGCTTTGATGGAAACCTTTGTTGGAACTCCCTTTTCTTCACCTTCCTGCCCTCCAGTCAAGCCTACTCTCACCCAAGAACCAGCTTCTGATCAGCAAAACATCCTGGCCCAGCTTGGCACTGGTGAGAGGAGCCTTGTGCTGTGACAGGGAGTGTTTGTGGTAGGACAGGTTGGTGTGCCTGGGTGTTTTTCACCTCCCTTCCTCATTTCCCCTCTGCTCCTTCCTTCCCACTTGGGGTGATGCTGGGGTTAAAAACCTGTGTGCTGGTCTTATTTGAAAAACATGCACCCAGTTCATTCTCTGGAGAATCCACACAGCCCAGTTTTCATTTGGGACAGTTTTTTGTTTGTTTGTTTTCTGTTGTATGTGAAACACTCAGGATTGCTGGAGTGAGAAGAGACTTGTGTGTGGTTTGGGGGTTTTTTTTTGGTGCATTTAGTGACACTTTGTGAGCAGTCAGTTTTTCCTACGTGTGTGGAAACAGAGGAAGGGAAAACAAAGGAAAATAACAATCCTCAAACTGTTACAGGTTGGCAGGAGGACTTGAATTCCTCATTATCTCATGGAAGATATTACACCAACACTTGTCTCAGCTCAGTGCTATTCAAAGGCATATTTTCCTGATCAAAAGAACATGTAATATTACAAATGGCAGAGGTTTTTAAGGGTGGGTTTTCAGCTGTATCCCTCCCAAGCTTTGCTAAAGCCTCAATTTACACAGCCTTATCCTCAGGTTATCCAGTTGCTCTTAATGTCACAGCTGCTTTCCAGGTGTGTGGCTTAAAACACTCCTGAGAAAAAGGGACAACTTAAACTTTCCAAGTGGAAATAGTCACTCTTCTCAAAGTCATGCCTTCATCACTTCTTTCCCCTTCTCCCTCACTCCAAGCTTAATTCTGTGAAGAATTCTCTGATCTACTGACTCATCTGGCCAAGTTTGGACTTTTAGGTTATGAAGATAGCATTTTTTTTTTAAATAGTATTCAAACAATGAATTTCTGCTTATTTAGGAATAAGTTTCAGCAGGTTGACCTGTAAGCTGTCACTGTCTGTAGGTGTCCTGGCTTGCCTGGATGGGTATATGAACATAGCTCTGGAGCAGACAGAAGAATATGTCAATGGACAACTAAAGAACAAGTATGGGGATGCATTCATCCGTGGAAATAATGGTAACTACTCCCCCTCCTCTTAGGGGTCATCAGTGGTTTGGTATTTCTGAACTTGAGGAGTGGCTGAAAGCAACATAATAATATATATAATATAAAATCAGGCTGCTTGTTAGATGAGTTTTAGGCTTTCTTGGAAACTTTTCTGCTTTTCTGCATTCCCTTTTTGTCTCTGAACATTTAGAGCAGCGTGCTCTTCTCTAGCCTGCCTTGGAGCTGATTTCCTCTCAGCTGACAGCTTCTCTCCTGCACTTACTGCCTGCTTAGATCCTCTCTGCTCCACAGAAGTGTGTTTTGCTGTGCAAACCACCCCATAAATTGGTGGTGCTGTACAGACATTGGTGACACCGTGGTGTGTTCTTGTGGTGCAGCTGCCCAGACCTGAATGAATGCTGTTCCTTAGTCCTGGAGGTGATTTTCATCTCTCTGACTAAAGATTTTACCACCAGTCAAGAAAACTATTGATTCTTTGAATCTCCCAGTGCAGTAGGTGGATCTTAGTGCACTTGAGGGACAGTCCTGAGCTCCTGAACAGGCTCTGTGCTATCAGCAGGACATGCCAGGGAGAGGAATATCTAGAAACAGAAAAAGTTCACAAGTCAGATGTGAAGAGACTTGTAGAGAAGGGAAATGGAGCAGAGTTTGACCAAGTTCCTTCAGAAGAAAATTGAGGACAGGAAGGAGGAAGGGAATGAAACAATCTGATCCCATGTCACAAAAAAGTCAAAAAGAATGTAGCAGCAGTGTGAGAGAGTGTTTTGGGAGGAGAAATAATCCTCCCAAATGTGGGATTTGGATTATTATGCTAAGGAGAGCAGTGACATAGCAGCTGGACAATCAGTTATGGAAACAAGAAGCTATTCTAGAAGCTAAAACAACTGGATGAGAGGCAGGAGGCTGAAGAACAGGCTGAGCAGAGAACTGAAGACATCCCAGATTTAGGCAGTTCCACGTCGTGCATGGATCTGTTCATGCTGAGTGGGATTCATTACACTGTCCTGCAAGCCACAGAAGGAAATGCTTTAAATCAAGGGGCTTTGCACATCATTTACCAGGGCCCTCACGTGTGCCTCTCTCCTTTCCAGTGCTGTACATAAGCACTCAGAAGAGGAGGATGTGAAGATGCCAGGAGGAGGCTGTTTTGTACTCAGGAACCTCTTCAAAATGATGAGCCCCGTTTGATTTGCAGTTAATAATCCACAGGTGAAAGACACAAGTGTTTAAGTATGTTTTTTTTTAAAAAATAAATATAAACCAGTGTAAACTTGCTGATTGTTTTTGTTTCAAAGTATTTGTTCCACTGTACAGAAACAAATAAAAGAGAAGCATGGAATACTGTGGCCCAGGGTCAGCTTTAAATGCCCAACTAGTAAAGAGTCATGGGGTGAAAAGTTCAGCTCTCCAAAAAAATCTTCAATTGTGGGTTGAATCAAGGGGTGTCACAGTGACACTTGAACAGTGAGGAGTGGGGAAAGAAGGGAGAGAAAGGGAAGAAAAGCCCCAAAGGTGAAAAGAAAGCTCTGTGCCAGCTAGGATGCCATCACAGTAGCTGCCTCCCCTCCTGCCTGTGTGTCCCTGGCCCTACCTCAGGTACCTTCTCCCCCTGCATCTCTACCAAACACGACAGACTTCAATAAAAAGCAATTTTAACTGAAGCTACTCCTGAGAACAGGCTAGGAATCCAAAAGCTTTTGTAACCATGCCATAGGTGTCCTGTTTAGAGAGTTCACTCCTCCCATTGTCTTCACCCCCAGCCTAGTGCCATCCACTATAGAATCTATAGATTATGTGCTAGCCAGAAATGAGATCAAATACATGAAGCTGATAGCGTGGGGGATGTTAGGGAGGGGGAAACTGCACACAGCAGAGTCAGAACTTGTTTGCTTCTTGCAACAGTGCTCCCAGATCATCAAAGCCCAAGTAAATCCAGCTCAATTTTACATGGATGCTTAAATTGATGAAGTCTTTTCTCCTCTTTCATCAGCCAAGAAGAAAACCCTTCTCTGAGTGTTACTGCACTGAACATCCAGGTACTCAGGGGTGTTTTGTTCTGCTTGTAAGTTAAGGTGATGATGTGGAAGTTGAGGTGATTTAACCTTTTATTTTTTAACGAGTTTTCTAAAGCCCTGCTTCATTTTTTGGGCAGTTTTTAGTACTTCCAAGAACAAAAATACTTCCAGTTGTGGGTGGATGAGCACAGACAATTGTGTGAATGAAACTTTGGCCAGTTCTCTCCAATTACCAGTAGCTCTAATGCAAGCAGGGAATAGAAACATTTCAATTTTCCAAGGGAGAGAACACAGGTTGCAATTTATTTAATTTTTTAAGATTAAGGAATAATTCTAAATTATTATTGGCAGGCTGGAGCAATGGACTGAGGTCAGTTGTATGAGGTTTAACAAGGCCAAGTGCCAGGTCCTGCACTCAGGTCACTCAAGGTGCTATCTACAAGTAGATCCTAATACTCATGTCCTTCATGTTACCTCATCTACCCCATCCCAGTGCCCTTTCCCAGGTACCTGGGTAAGAAATGGTTTTACTTGTGGCTCAAGCTCATCTAGAACAGGACTGACAATCAAATACTCCTTGAGCAACTTGTCCATCACTTGTCTGGGAAGAATGCACCCAAAATGAAGCAATCCAAAGCTAATAAGGATTGCATTCTGAAGTCTAAGCTGCATACACATCCATAGTACTCCATGCCATGAGCTCACCTCATGAAACCAAGGCCATCCAGCCACTGCCCCATCCCCTTTCACCTGCTCACTCCTAGGAAGAGCAGCAGCCCTGGATTTGCAACATCCCCACAACCAGTGTAAACTTCTGGCCACCAAAAAGCCAAAGCAAGCCACATCTCCTCCAACAACAGCCTGCTGGGAGCAGCAGCACAGCACAACCCTGGCAACCAGAGAGAGCAGGATGGGTACTCACTGGGTAGGGGAAGAACGGTCCTGCAGGTGACTCCTGAAGCCTGCAGTCCCCTGGAGTGCCCCTGTATAAGGGCATCAGAGCAAGCTGGGAAATTTGGGCTTTAAAGGTGTATCCACTGGCAACCACTCAGTTCTGTAAGTTGTTGCCACCTGGTTCTCAGTCAAAGGGAATCTGAGGCAAACCACTCTGAGCTCTATCCCAGTTCTTTTTCACAGGGTTACAATGACAACCACCCACAGCCCTTCTGGCTACAATTTGCCCCTTTAGTCCTAAAACTCCTCCCTGGCTCTGCCAACCAGCTGTGACAGCCTCTGAGCCTTGGAGTGATGGTACCAGAGCAAAGCTTGAGCTCCAGTGGGCCAGCAAGCAGCAGCTTCCAAGTCTCCAGTCCCTGTGCCACCCTGCTCTTCAGGGCTGAGGAATCAGAGGGCAGGAGGCTCTTCCTGAGCTGCTGTATTGGCCCTGTCTGAGGGATCCTTGAATGTCGAGGGGTTGGTGACCCATGCAGTAGTTTTGGGGTGGCTTGCAGGTTTCCCTTGGGCTGCACAGGAGCTCTGCCAGCTGATTGTACCAGCAGAGCTCACGGGCAGCTCCCACTCCACGCCTGCACCACCTGCCTGCCCTTGCCTTTATCTAGCAGAGCAGCAACGAGTTCTCATGAGAACACCCTTTAAAAAGGGGGTTGTTTTCTTGCAGGGAAAGGTTGGGGTTTTTTAAGTGTTGATAAAGGGAGAGCTGTTCTCCAGGGTTGCACACTGTGGGAAAATCCATCTGGGCCCCATCCAATGCTACATGGATGTGGGGTGCCCAGCCTCTGAAGAGCTCTAAAATTTATTTCTCTTATTCTGTCTTCTCAAAGCAGTCATTAAACTGGGTCAGGCTTATCGAGACCCAAAAGAAGCCCTGCATCATCTCTCTCTCCCTCCTCCACACCCCTGCCCAGTACAGGAGTTACCAAATAAATGGTGGTTTGGGGTTTTTTTTTTAGGCTGACTTTGTGAGGGCAGGAGTCTCACATTATCTGTTGCATGTGTGTCTCTGTCAGTTCATCCTCAGCAGTAACATCTGAGTCCCTGTCACACTTCAGGAGGTAGAGGAACAGCAAAAAATAATCAACTGATCAACCTCCCCACTCTTCCCTGACCCCTCCCCAGCTTTATTCACAGGACTCAGGTGGCCACTAGCTGCTCTGGAAGGACTTCTAACTCGTTATAGCCCTGATTACCTTGGAACAGCAAAGCACTTCCCAGCCTGTCAGTGCAGCACCAGCTCTGGGTTGATTACATCCATGCCTGTATCACAGGCTGATCTCCACCTCTCTGCTCCTGTTGATGTGGAAGAAATCTGCAAGGAGGAGAAAGTTTCAAGTTCTCTAGTTTATAGTCTGTCTTAATTTTCAAGCTGTTAAAGAGTATGCACAGTTTTCCGTAGTGCCAGCTTAAAATCCCACCTGTGGGTTTGGGTTTTTTTTCCTTCTAGAAATCCACTACAGAAATGCTGCTGAGCAAACAACAGGCTGGCTGTAAGTTGCCTTGTATCCTCTTCTCCTTGCCAGCTTCCCATTAACAGAGAAATTTATGACAGGAAAAAGGCAAACCTCTCTCCAGTGAGAGCAGAGCCACGGGCTCTTCTCCTGCCTGCCTGGGCCCCGTGGTCAGGGCGATGAGCAGAGCCTGGCTGAGCTCAAGTGTCTCCAGCAGGTCAGAGCTCTGGCCAGGGAAGGCTGAGGCAATGCTGTCCTGCTGGGTGATGCAACCAGAGGCTGTGCAGGGGGCTGTATTTCTTCTTGGGAACATCTGCCTGTGGCTTGGCACTCAAAGGTGCAGCTGGAGGCTGCTGGTGGGTGCTCGTTTCATGGCCATGACTGAGACAGGCCTTTTCCAGCTCTAAGGAGGAGAGGGTTGTGGCATTATGTGGTTGGAGGGCAGCTTTGAAGCTCCTGAGTTCCTCTGCTGGAGAGCAGGCAGAGAGGATGAACCCCATGGAAGGCTGGATTTTGGATTGCCCAGCAGCCTAGCTGCCCACCCTCTGTGACCTCCTGGCCTTGCAGATGGCTTGGGGCTGGGCCCCATTTCTTTCAAGCTCTACTCCCTTCTCCCCACAGCTCCAGGCAGTGCCTGGCACTGCTGCTTCAGGGGCTGCACTCTGCTGCTTCTCCCTCTTTCTCTGGCAGAAGCCAGTGGAGGAATGCTCCTTAGTGGGGCTGGGGTAACAAAAACATGGGCCCAATACCCTCTGCTGCCCCTGGTTAAAGGAAAGAGAACTGTAAGATTTACATTATGTCTTGAAAATCAGTGACTGTAGGGCCTCTTTCAAACGCTGCTGAGGGCCCAGTACCACCAGTTCCCAGCTAAGTGGCAGCTGGGCTGTCAGTGGCAGCACCTTGTTTCAGTGTCTTGGGCCACATCTGAAGGACAGGCTGAAGGGAACAGCACTAACAAGTGTGGCACCTGCAAGCCTGCCTCCAGATTTTAGGTGCCCCAGGCAGGGGTGACCACGATGCCCACCCTGGACAGACTCCCACAGTGGTCAGGACCCCAGCAGGAGCAAACACAGAGCTGTAGCTTTACACCTTGGTGTGTCTCCTTCAGTCATGGGGCAGGACAGAGCTTTGTGGTGCCATCTCAGATGTTCAGTGTCCCCTGTGCTGGTTGTGGTGGGGGGTTGATGGCTCCTCCTGGCAGGGCTGGTGTGGGGGATGAACCTTCCCAGCCCTTCTAGCAAAATTCTGCTTTTGCTGCCAGTGTAACTCCCATACAAGCAGCGTGGGCTCACGGGCTGGGGGAGCTGATGTGGCTTTGCAAAGCTTCAGCGTGGAAGGAGGGGTGGTGTGGGGAGGCAACGGGGCAAGCACGAGTCAAATCCTCCTGCAGAGGGGTCCCAGGGTGTCCCACACAACCCCCACGGCTTGCTGCTGCCTCCCCCCTGCTAGCTGCCTTTGTTTTCAAGGCAGAAACTTGCAGATTGGG